ATGTATGTATGTATATATATGTATGTATGTATATATATGTATGTATGTATGTATATATATGTATATATGTATGTATATATATATATATATGTATGTATGTATATGTATATATGTGTGTATATATATATGTATATATGTATGTATATATATGTATATATGTATGTATATATATGTATATATGTATGTATATATATGTATATATGTATGTATATATATATGTATATATGTATGTATATATATGTATATATGTATGTATATATATGTATATATGTATGTATATATGTATATATGTATGTATATATGTATATATGTATGTATGTATGTATATATATATATGTATATATGTATGTATATATATATATATGTATATATATGTATGTATATATATATATGTATATATATGTATGTATATATGTATGTATATATGTATATATGTATGTATATATGTATATATGTATATATGTATGTCTATATATATATATGTATATATGTATGTCTATATATATATATGTATATATGTATGTATGTATATATATATATATGTATATATGTATGTATGTATATATATATATATATATATATATATATATATATATATGTATGTGTATATATATATATATATGTATGTGTATATATATGTATATATGTATGTGTATATATATGTATATATGTATGTGTATATATATGTATATGTATATATGTATATGTATATGTATATATATATATATATATATATATATATATATATATCCCCATAGCTACGCACTGTTGTGGGGGCTGGGGAGTGCGTCGACATAATCGGGACATAGACGGGGGTGCGCAGCTAAATAAGTTTGGGAACCGCTGGTCTAAATCATGCAGGAAACATGTTGAAGCCAGACAGCAGCAGACCGGATCAGCGATTGTGAAGCTGCAAGTGCGATATTCTGGCCACAGGGGGCGATGGGGGCTGGGTGGCCTTGCACAGTATGACTATTGCTCAGCATGATAAAAAGTTAGGGATTCACACTGATATTCAATCTGGCAAGGAGTACCAAAAGCTACACGATAGTGGAGTTCTAAAGAAAGATGATTTAACTTTAATTTGAAATTGTGATGGAGCACCAGTCTTCAAAAGTTCTAAATGTAGCATTTGGCCAATTCAGTGTCAGATAATCGAATTAGCCCCAAATGAGAGAGGAAAACACATTTTGTTGTCTGCTTTATGGTTTGGGCCTAGCAAGCCATCTATGTTTACATTACTAACAGGGAAACCCTCATGTGTCTAAAGTGTTTGTGCTCCTTTGTAGCTCTGATTCTGTTGCGCGGCCATTGCTTCGTAACACAAAGCAATTTAATGGTTTTTACGGATGTGATTTTTGCTATCACAAAGGCGGCAAAGTATATTCATACACCAGACCGGAACCCCCTCTGCATAATGAGAAGGACCATTTTAGTCATGCAATGTCAGCAACAGTGGATGCACCTGTATTTGGAGTTAAAGGCCCATCTCCTTTGATGAACCTTAGTTACTTTCAAATGATAAATGGCTTCATTCCTGAATACCAACACAATGTGTGCCTTGGCGTCACCCGTCAACTGGCTACTCTGTGGTTTGATTCTGCAAGCAGTGATGCTCCTTGGTACATTGGTAAACAGATTGAAGAAGTTGATTTGGGACTTGAAAAGATAAAGCCTCCTGTTGAGATAACAAGAACTCCTAGATCTATAAAGGACAGGACATTTTGGCGAGCTTTCTTACTCTTTTATGTCTTACCAACATTAAAAGGAATTCTTCCAGCTAGATTTTGGAATAATCTGTTTCTTTTGTTATTCGGCATATACACGCTACTACAAGATGAGATCCAGACACGCGCAATCATTATGGCAGAACTGGCACTCTAAACATTTGTTATTGACTTTCAGAGACTCTATGGAAATGACAACATGACATTGAATATACATTTGCTTACCCACATCGCACAAAGTGTTAAAAACTGGGGTCATTATGGGCTACTTCTACTTTTCCATTCAAGTCCAATATGGGCACTCTCCTGAAGTATTTTCATGGGACACAATCTGTCCCATTGCAAATAGTCAGAACATTTCTGTTGTGGCGAGAACTTCCAGACAAAGCCAAACAAGCAATAACATCTGGAAATCCAAGAGTAGAATTATTTGTTAAAAAACTGTGTTCCTATGACCAAAGAACAGAAACATGTGTCATACTTAATGGAAGTGTCGAGGGTTTTGGCAATCCTCCTTGCCAGGAAAACATCCCATCTTTACATTGGCTTGCCATACAAAACTATGTGAAAATCTTAAGTAACTGCTTCTGGTATTACAGGCGTTTTTTGGTTAAAGGTGTTTTGTTTCACAGTCAGACTTATGAATGGCTGAATAAAAGATTCAACAGTGCTGTATCTTTGAATGTTGGTAAATTGTTTTTAATTAATGACTTGGTTGTCTTTAAATAAAAGTGTGCACATGAAAACCCAGAATACTGTGCATGTATCAAACATTCTTGTGTCCTGGTAGAGGAGCTGAGTAAATCCAACAGACCATTGTGTAAAGATTCAAAGATTAATGTAGAGAGTACTTTCATTCACGAAGTGAAAAAGACTGGAAATGTGTGTGTCATTTGGCCTGATATGATACTTAAGAAATGTGTTGTTATTGAAACTGATGAACTATACGTTGTACCTCTGCCAAATCCATATGAACGGGACTGATTGTCTTTAATAAACGTTCCCATTTTAAGAACGACAATGAAATTCCTGATAGTTTTTTTTCCCTCCTATTTCAGTTGTTATAAAATGTGTGCTTTTCTTTACATTTAAGGATTGAATGTTTTTTAAAATCAACAGAAAAAAAGTTATGACACTATAGACTAATAGAAACATCAGGTTCACTTAGGCTATAATATTAAGCCACATGCTGACCTTTTGTCCAAAATTAAAGATCGAATAAATAATATTTGAACCGTCTTACAGTAGAAAGCAATCCAGCAAATGTGATAATATGTAAAATGGGCTACAGTCAAAACAATACAACTACAAATGGTTTTTATACCATGTCAAATTTGGACTTTTCATGAGATATTGTCCAGTGCAAGCATTATCTATATGTAAACTTTAGTCCAAGTATATATATATATATATATATATATATATATATATATATATATATATATATATATATATATTAGTTTAATATGCAAGTAGAATAGTAGAATTATAAGTATACTTAAAATTTACTTGAAGTATATTTCTGATATGTACAATCTAAATGTTAGTAAACTTTACAAGTATATATTTAAGTATACTTATACATTACTTGGTGAAATATACTTCTGATAGTCAAGTACAAGTATAGTCTAAATGTAAGTAAACTTTAATGTAAGTATGTATTAAAGTATACTTAGTAGTATTTTAAAAAAATGTACTCTGATAACTATACTTCTGATAAGTACATTGAAAGTAAACTTGAAGTATACTGTATTCATTTTTAGTAAACTTCAACTATACTTCAGTGTACTTCTTTTTGGTAAGGGCTGAAAAGAAATTTAGGATTGTGCTTATTCTCCTCAATTAACGCTGAGAAATAAGCAGGTCTAGTTTGTCGAAGCTTATTTTTATAAAGCACATGACTATTTTTCCAGGATAGGTAGGTCTCCTCATGGTGCGTAGAGCGCCATGTTGTCTCCAATTTTCTAGAGTTTTGTTTTAAAGCTCGTCAATAAGAATTAAACCAGGGAGCCAACTTCCTGTCCCTAATTACCTTCTTTTTTAAAGGGGCAACATCATCTAATGCCACACGTAAAGAGGATTAACATGATGAACTAAGGCATCAATTTGTGAGGGGCTAGAACTGAAAATGTTGCCCTCTGCTACGTTCCTCTGAGATGCTGAGGACAGTAAAGATGGAACAGTTGATTTAACAGATGCAACAGCGTTGTCAGATAGAGACCGACTATAGTGAAGTTTACTTTCATGTCTCGAGAACTCAGTTATAAAAAACTCAAAGGAAAGATTGTTATTTCCTCACACTCTATGCCATAAGTCAGCACAAGGTCTAATGTATGATGGCAACAACCAACAAATTCTTTTACACCCAGCTTTCACAATTGTAGTACATGAAGGGATGGACATGGTCAGAAACAATGCTCAGGTAGCCCGTGGCAATTTAACCATGCCCAGTTGGCACTAAGGGGCCTAAAGTGTACCAAGAAAACATCCCCCACACCATTACACCTCCACCACCAGCCTGCACAGTGGTAACAAGGCATGATGGATCCATGTTCTCATTCTGTTTACACCAAATTCTGACTCTACCATTTGAATGTCTCAGCAGAAATGGAGAGACATAAGACCAGACAACATTTTTTCAGTCTTCAACTGTCCAGTTTTGGTGAGCCAGTGCAAATTGTAGCCTCTTTTTCCTATTTGTAGTGGAGATGAGTGGTACCCGGTGGGGTCTTCAGCTGTTGTAGCCCATCCGCCTCAAGGTTGTGCGTGTTGTGGCTTCACAAACGCTTTGCTGCGTTCCTCAGTTGTAACGAGTGGTTAGGGTTAGGCTCTTCTATCAGCTTGAATCAGTCGGCCCATTCTCCTCTGACCTCTAGCATCAACAAGGCATTTGGCCCACAGGACTGCTGCATACTGGATGTTTTTCCCTTTTCACACCATTCTTTGTAAACCCTAGAAATGGTTGTGGGTGAAAATCCCAGCAACTGAGCAGGTTGTGAAATACTCAGACCGGCCCGTCTGGCACCAACAACCATGCCACGCTCAAAATAGCTTAAATCACCTTTCTTTCCCATTCTGACCTTCAGTTTGGAGTTCAGGAGATGGTGTTGACCAGGACCACGCCCCTAAATGCAGGGTGGTAGAGACGTATGGAGACGGTCGTTCTGAGACATGAGACTGTGTGTTTTTGGTGAACATTAATGCAGGAGTGTGTAAAACAGCTCATGTTTAATTAAAATAAAATAAAATATTTATTTAACTTGACATAAATTGTAATTTTTGACTGTTGTGCTACAGCCAAGGGAGGAACATTTTGGGTCCCAGCCAGATTCTCTGCTTCCCTGCTGCTCTCTCCATCATCATGCTGCTCCTTGCTCTGCCTCTCCACTTGTCTCTCCTTCACTCACCTCCTCCACTTCAGCCTACTTGTCTAATATATTAGCCACATGTTAGACTCCCTTCAATCACCAATAGGAATGTTGGGAATATCACACGTATCACGGTACAGATCACTCAGAGGGAACTGGGTCACGATAAAGAACAATGAGCATCTTCATCTAATGTTACCTCAACATCTTCCTCGGCTTCCTTCCTCTTCTTCTGAAAATGCGAGCAGAAATGAGTCTCGGTGGGAACATGACCCGACATTAAGCTGTACGCTGTTGCCGATCTGGAATTATGCATTAACGACAGACCACATTGACTACGTTACTGTTCACATGTAGCAGCGTGCGTTAGCATGAAGCTGGTTTTCACAGGTCTGAACTAAAAATGCCTTCTTCTAACGTAGGGCCGGGCGATATGGCAAAAATAGAATATCACGATTTTTCCAATATTTTGTCACGATTTCGATTTTATCACGATTTTTTATCCATGAATAGCATGACTTCAGTTGCGTATTGAGGAAGAGAAACATTGAATAAACATTTATTCATATTAGGGATAATAAGCACAGTGCTAACACACTTATATTTTAAACTCACACCAGAGATGATAAAAGCCCTGAGAGAAACAATTACAAAAATCAGTTTTTCTCGTTTTTCAAGTAACTTCACATAAATTAAAATCGTAAACATATTTAAAGTGCAAACATGTCAATTGCAAACGTATTGTGCAAACATTAACTTGTTCAAAATACTATGTAGCTCCCAGTTGCTCATGTAGTGGATAGTTAAGCTCAAATACGGCTCTGATGTGCGGCTGGACCAGAGATCGCTTGTGGTAGCAAAAAATTGCGCATTCTGAATATTTTCTGCAACTCTCACTTTGCATTCAGCATACATGCGTGGAATGGCGGTGTTCGAAAAATACTTGCGGCTGGAAAACTAGTAGCGCGGATCCAATGTTTTTATCATTTTCTTAAATCCCACTCCTACTGTTCGCATGGGACACAAATCTTTAACCAAGAGGTACGTCACTGCATCTGTCACGCTGTTCCATCGTCTGCTGTCTCTGTCGTAAGGAGTGAGTTTTGTGAGTGTTTCTGTTAGCGTTTGCTGCCTGGAAGAAGCACTAGCTGCTGCAGCCGCAGGTTTTTTAGCTTTAGCTGCCAGCTGGCTCTCATTGTATTGTTTGGGATGCTTTCTCTTCAAGTGATTAAACAAGTTTGTGGTGTTGCCATCACTTGCCTTGACGCTCTCCTTTTAAATGACGTTTCGCTGCTCTTTGTCATCTGGTGAAAAACCAAACCAGTTCCATATAATGATAGGGATGGGTACCTTTGACATTTGAATCGATCCGGTACTAACTCCCGGTACCTACAAATCGATACCGGTACTTAACGGTACCAATTTGATAGTTTTGAGTGTTTCATATTTTAATTCTCTTTTATAATTAAATATATATTTTTCTCAATATATAACAATATTTGATAAATAACATTCAACTGTTTGTATTTTAACATCGTCCTTGTAGTTTTATAAGCTGATAATTAAACTGAAGCAAACATCTTTACTGTGAACTAAATTTACTGTGTATCTTCATTCCTTTTGCCGTCCTTTTTCATTTGATTTTTCCTACTGGGAAGTTAGAATTTCCGAGGAGAAAGCGAACGCACCATTAGCTGATAACAACGGTGGCAATGGAAGCTAACATATCAAGCTAACGTTATCTTTAACAGTTTATTTAACTGCTGGAGCAGATTAAAACGATGATGCCTCACACTTAGATCGTTGTCGCTGGTTTCATCTTCACCCAATCACCCGTCGCATTTAGTAAAGTGAAGCCAAACTTTAGAGTGCGTTCATGTTCATCTAATCGGAAATTCGGAGTTCCGAGGAGAAAGCGAATGCACCATTAGCGAAACGGAAGCTAACATATCAAGGTAACGTTATCTTAAACATTTTATTTACCTACCAGAGCAGATTAAGATGAGGATGTCTCACTTAGATCGTTGTCTGTCACTGGTTTCATCACCTAGTTACCCATCACATTTAGTGAAGTGGACCCAAGCGTTAGCATGCGTTCTTCTTTCTACCATGCTGCTCTGTTTACAACTCGCTTGCAGGGACCGACGACATAACGCTCTTGCGCATGCGCAGCTTTCTTGGCAAGTTCTCGTGAAGGACGGGTACTGAAACGAGGCACCGTTTGAAATGACGTGAATCGGTGCTCGGTCGGTACTGTGGAAAAGGCATTCCTCTTCGGAACGAAAACCTCGTTGTCGCTCTCAGCCGCGGCTGAAGCCATGTTTGTTCACACACAGGTGAAAACAAGCGGGCTACTAATATATTACTATGACTCACTCTGATTGGTTAAGGGTCAAACAAAGGCGTGTCATTCGCCTGGGGTAAGTTCCCTTTTCATTCAGAGGCAGAAATTCAATAGCAGAGCTGTGAATCGTGATAAAAAGGTCTCTCAAAAATGACAGACCGTCAGATGTGTAGATCGTAAAACGGTCTAAAATCGTCATATCGCCCAGCCCTATTCTAATGTAAGGTTCTTTTCTTCCACCTTTTCTCTCCCTGTAGTTTTCTTTAACTCGTGAGAGCAGCGCACCGCACAGAAGCCGGCTCCTTCGCACACGGGGAAAAACGGCAGCACTGGTTTTTCAAAGTAAAATACATTTTAAAGTTTTGTTATATTTAAATTCATTTTAAACTGTGATAATTCATTCTCTGCAGTTTTGTGTCAGTTTAAGGAAGAAGGAAGAGCTCCTGAAGAACTGAGGCCTCCTTTGAACCAGAAGGACATGGAGCCCCTCAACGTGAAGCAGGAAGAGGAGGAGCAGCTTGATGAGATTAAAACTGATGCCACCAACATTTCATTCTCTGCAGTTTCTCATCAGGTTAAGGAAGAAGGACGAGAAGTTCTGTTGTCACAGTTTGATCAGAACCAACCTAAAGACAGAGATCTTCCAGCCAGCAGCACCTCTGACCAGATGAAAGCAGAAAGTGGTAGAGAGGACTGTGGAGGAGCAGAAACTACCAGGAATCCAGATCTAAATCTTTATGAATATGATTCTAACTCTTCAGAGACTGAAGTCAGCAATGATGAAGATGATGACCAGGATGGCAACAATTCTGACTGTCAGCTGAAACTCTTGTCAGATTCTGAGCCAAACACCAAAGATGATAACAAAGACTGGAAGCAGAGCAGGTCTTCTAAATCACATGTTAAGGCTGTCAAATCTTTCAGCTGCCCAGAGTGTGGTGAACAGTTTCTCCATGAGCGGTCTCTCCAGAAACACATGAGAGTGACAAGTCATTCAGGACTGAAGTCTTCAAGCTGTTGTGTTGATAAGAAATGTGTTACAGTGAAGCAAAATAAAGACTCTAGCAGGAAAGGTCAGATAAAACTAAAATCATTTAGTTGTGATGACTGTGGAAAAAGTTTCAGTTTCATATCAAATTTAAACACTCACATGAGAGTTCACACAGGAGAGAAGCCTTTTGCTTGTGAGTTCTGTGGACAAAGATTTACCCAAAAGTCAAGTTTAAACATTCACATGAGAGCCCACACAGGACAGAAGCCTTTTGCTTGTGAGCTCTGCGGACAAAGATTCAGCCGAAAAGGAAATTTAGACACACACATGAGAGTCCACACAGGACAGAAGCCTTTTGCTTGTGAGTTCTGTGGACAAAGGTTTACCCAAAAGGGACATTTAGACAAACACATGAGTGTCCACACAGGAGAAAGGCCTTTTGCCTGTGAGCTTTGTGGAAAAATGTTTAGTCATAAGACCTATTTTAAAAGTCACATGAGAGTCCATACAGGACAGAAGCCTTTTGCTTGTGAGCTCTGTGGTCAAAGATTTACCCAAAAGTCAAGTTTATACTTTCACATGAGAGTCCACACAGGACAGAAGCCTTTTGCTTGTGAGCTCTGTGGACAAAGATTCAGCCGAAAGGGAATTTTAGACATACACATGATAGTCCACACAGGACAGAAGCCTTTTGCTTGTGAGCTCTGTGGACAAAGATTTGCTCAAAAGACAAGTTTAAACAGACACATGAGAGTCCACACAGGACAGAATAATGAACATAAATAAAATATATATTTGGGGACTTCTAAGGGTGTTGAATGACATGTGCTACTGATCTGAAAGCTCTTTTAACTAAAATGAAAGGCAGCAGTTCTATTAAATGTTTTGTTTTTGGAGAAGAAAATGTTGAAAATAAAATTTTTGTTTGCCACTAAAGTGTTTTATTAAATCTCTGTTCACTATTCAGTTTATTGTTCGCTGTTTCTGGAGTTTAAACGTAAATGCTGATGTTTTGCAAAGTGAGAAGGCTTGCCATCAAAGTCACCAGATTAATCCACTCGTGTAATTATCTGTCATGCAAAAATCAAAAATCAGACTTTTGTGCAACAGTAATTAACCAGAATATGTACAATGAACTGTTTTTAACGTTTTTGAGGTAAAAGTGCAAACTTATTTGAAATAACAGAGCATAAGATTTGCTCACCTATTCCAGAGTTCATCTAGCTCCACTGCACGGTGTAGCGGCTCTCCCTCGCACATCTACACATAACATTTTACTTTCTGTAATTACAAATCCAAGTTTCACTGTGACATATAGAAAAAGTTCATGTACAAGTTAGAAGGTTTTACTTTGTTGTTTAACGCTAACAGGGTAAGCATCGGATGGAAAGGTAGCAAAAGCAGGTTGGCTTCATGTGGCGCTCAGCAAACTGGACAAAACCCGCCACTTCCATCGGTCTAGCTGCTTCACTCCCAAACCAAGGAAGATTCATCCACCGGCAATGGTACCAACTAATCCAGCTTATTTGTTCCATTCTTTCTGTTTTTGTAATGTCTTCGGTGCAACCTGAGGTGGAAAGAGTACTACAACTTCCTACTTAAAGGTATAGCAATCGATGTTTCTGAACATCAGGAAAGAACCACCCTCTCCACGTTGCGCAACACTCTCCCAGCGCCTGTTTACAAGTAGCTGCCGGCCGTAATGTGTAATAAGAGGCTCTAAAAACTGCATGCAGAACGTTGGTTTACCTCTCGAGCAGAAAACCGTCAACAGCGGCGTCTGTGGGGAGCGGACTGGACCGCGTTATCCTCTTCCTGATTTCCATGAGAGTGCGGGGGTGCACAGAGTACGCATGTGCAGGAAGTGAAAACTAACCCAGGATTGGCTTCACCAGAAATTGACATTTTTGCGGACCAATGGTTGACGTGATCTACCCGGAAGAAAAACATTGATTGCTATACCTTTAAATACGAGTAGTATGGCGTCAGAGCCGTGCCACAACCCGTGCACGCGGTTTGGGTCCACATCGCACGTGTGAACGGGACTCACGAGTGAAAATATACATGGCGAGAGGTCATTTGTGCACTGAGAGGGAGCAAACTGTGTGAGTGCACAATGATGTGCACAAGTGACAAACCTGCATGCGCGCGTTGCCAACGAGCACACGGCAGAGGAAAACGTGCGCGCGCGGCAGCCTCTCTGCGCGCTCGGTTTCTGACTCTGCTCGCTCGGCTGTGAAGGGGTTTTGGCACTCTGGAGGCGTGGCCTGTGGCAGATTTTCTCTGTCTTCTGATTGGTTAGTTTACCCCGCACTTTACCCTCTACCTATCTATATTAAAAAATCTGGTGTTCAGTAGTTGCTGTCATAGCTCAGCTGGGAGAGCGGGTGACTCTCCCCCTGGAGGATCCACGTTAGAGTCTGGGCAAGGGAAATAGAGTAGATGTTGTTTTTTCCTAATTCCTGTGATATTATTTTACAGTTGTGACCGTTCAACTGTCATTAAACGTCCGAATGTTTGCTGGGCAGTGTTTTAAAAAGTGCACATAAGCTAGATGGTTTTAACCATATAAAATTATATTTTTTGTGATACTGGAAAAATACATACTGAAATAAAACTACTGATTGAAAACTTTATGACTGTGGTTGTACAATATATGACTCACTAATACACTGCAAATGCCTTTAGAGTGGGGCTTCCAGAGAGAGAGAGAGAGAGAATTTGTATTCTGTCAAAGTTGTAATATTACTTCATCTACTCTTGAGAGGAGACTCCAGGTAAAAATAGACTTGTGGGTGTAGGTATGTTCAAGTTTAAAAAGTTCTTGCCTCATTAATGTATTGTTTATTTTTTTCAGCATTTAATTGACAAATTATCCTTTCAAATAATTAATTGATGAGTTACATCATTGTCCATTTAGAATTGTTGAATGGACTGAGTCAAGTTTGGTGCACTTTATATATTTCAAAACATGTTTTTTTTATTTTCATGATGCATATAAATAATTTAAATGTTAATTTAATGAAATATTTCTATTTTTTCATTACCTCACCCTTGTTTTGACGAAAACAGGACCTTGCTGGATAATATCATGGAGAGACTATTTGTTCACAGTACATGGCTCAGTGAGGATCTGTATACCAAAGGAGGAGATACTCAGAAATCTGTCTGCAGATTGTTACAACCCAGACTGGAAGTGGTGGGCTGTAATAAGAAAGGAGACCAAACAGAGAAGTGGGGGTTCAACAGCTGATTTATTTAACCAAATGTGGCAGTGTGAGTGTCCTGTCACAGTGTCCCGATTGATCATGCGCCCTGGCTACTTGGCCAAGGGGATGTCCCTTTGGCTGACTGGTTAGAGCGTATGACTCTCTCCCGGGAGTCTGGGGATCGAATCCCGCCCGGGCCCTCATTTATCCACCTTGCCACATTTGGCGTTGTTGGCAGGATCCATGTAGTACTGTCAAGTAGGTCCATGGATGTGAAGTTTGTGGCACCCTGCGCGGGAGCACGAGGACGTGCTTGTGGAAAGAGGGGGGAAGATGTGGCAGTGTGAGTGTCCTGTCACAGTGTCCCGATTGATCATGCGCCCTGGCTACTTGGCCAAGGGGATGTCCCTTTGGCTGACTGGTTAGAGCGTATGACTCTCACCCGGGAGTCTGGGGATCGAATCCCGCCCGGGCCCTTGTTTATCCACCTTGCCACACAAAGTAAGGATTTACTAAATCTGAAATCAGCTTTAGTCTTCAGTTTGTTCTCAATGTGCATGGCATAACGGATGGTGGCCCTCGGTAGTTTAGAAACTCTGGATACGGCCCTGCTGCTGTCTCTCATCAGAAGCCACGCGAAGCACCGCAGCTAGAGAGGAAGAAGCCAGTGGCTTTTCAAAATAATGTAAAAAATTTAACGTTTCTTGATATTTAAATTATTTCAAACTACGATTATTGTAACTACAGGGGTCCAACAAAGAATGGCCACGCATCATACTGATGTCTTCGGATGTTTATTTTGCTCTCTCTCTCTCATTGTCTTCAGACACCGTGAAAACTGAAGAAACACAAAGTTTACACCATAACTGTTTTAACTTATCAGTCTCTCATATCATTGTCCATAAACAGTCTCGAGCAAGCAGAACAGAAAGAAAATGTGCAATAATGAATCACAAAAATGTCCTCTCATTACCAGTGTAGAACACATATGCAACATTATACAAACATTATACATGAAACCATACCGTTTGCGCCTCTTGGACCACATGCAGAATGACATTAACGTCGAGGCTATAGACGCATCTGTAGCCATGTATCCATGCTATGTTACAGTTGCAGTTACAACAGCAACTGTAATCACATATTTTAAACATGTTTTTTAATCATTGTTACACTTTTATCATCTTATCTAGTAATTAAATGAACCAAATTAAGCATCTCTCTATCACAGAAACATTTGAAATAAACAACTTTATTTTAACTGTCTCAGGGACAGTTACAATTATGGTTAGCATAAGTGCGCAAATATAGGCTATATGTGTCACGCCTTAAGTTGTTGTACAGTAGTGTAACGGGTTACGATTTGTTGTGGTTGGACTTTTATGTTGAAGGGATGTTCTTGGCCGGCTGTGTGCAGAGTTCCGGTTCGGTTGTTTAGAAGAAAACGAGCTAGTGTGATCGGAGATCGTTAACGGTGTTTCGGCTGGAGTTAAGACGTTGGCTGCGGCCAACAGTAACCCGGAATAAAGATCCGAAACGGAAACAACAAGTTGGAGTCATTAGCATCTTTTAGAAAAGGCAACAAAAGTGTGTTTTATAGGTGTGGTGGCTTTTGTTGAGCCGTGGCGGTGCGACACGAACTAGTTTAGCCCAGCAGAAAGGCCCCGCGGCTGGCTGGACCCAGCACGACACAGCAGCAGAGCGGTAAGCTTCATATCACTCTAAAATGTCGGCTAACTTTACTGTACACGTTCATTTACGGGCATTAGCAGCGTGCTAGCATTAGCATCCCACCTGCTAACGCTAGCACAACATGCTAGTAAAGCTAGCACCCAGATTAATGTGGATTCGGATGATTTTCGTGGAATAAAACGTGATCTGGGAATTGTGATGAACGCCTTTTTACACCAGATGATAACCTTCCACTGACTGTAGCAGCAGAGCGCCTGTGTGTGTTACTCCGTGAGTGTGATGTGATGTTAGCATCCAGTAAATAAATCCCCTATCAGCTAAAGAGCAGCGCGACTAAAGGTTGGTTTATGCTTGACGCGTCCGCGAGGTCCGCACGGCTCCGCGCGGAAAAGTTGCATCATTTTGCGTCATTTTAACAACCACCCCCCTCCACCGCGCCTCCGCACGGCCCAGAATTTTCGCAACGCGCACCTCAGAAAATTTCTAACCACGCGGACGGACGGACGCGGAAAAACATGGTGGACCGGCAAGAACTAGTATGGCAGAGGTTCGTAAATACAGACATTTGCATGATTCAGCTCTCAGAGATCACCGTGATCGACATGTTGTTAATAATTTTTGGAGAGAAATAGCTCGCACTGTCGGAAAAGACGAGAACGCTGTTATAAATGCTGAAATGCCATGTTGTAAACAGTGATTTCTACTTCTACTATGGTGTAGTGTTGGGTGCATGCTGTAGAGCTCCATGCTGCCCCCTACAGTTTGGGAGAATATTGGCTCACCGCAGAGACGAGCCGCATGAACCATAAACACTGCGAGTTGTGAAGTGCATTCCATCCGCGAGCCGCATCTCCAAGCGGAAAGTAAATGTGTCAAGCATAAACCAAGCTTTACGCCGGGGACACACCGGCCGCGGAAGCGCGGCGAAAATGGGACTGCCTTCATTCGGCGCCCTTGTTAAGCTATTCTATGGACCACATGGGCCGCCGAAGCGCCGCGAATCGCCACGCGCCGGCGCTCCAGCCCGCGCCGTGCAGCGATAATTTCGGAGTCAGCTCTATTTTTTTCGCGAGCCGCGGGTGAATCGCGTCAATTCTGGCAGGAAGTCAAACCTAGACATAAGAGGCAGGCCGGTAAATTTAACAAAATAAAGCATTTCAAAATAAAATTCCGCAATAGTCAAATGCGTTCGTAATCAGACACTGCAGAAAAACCACACGAACACACACACATCGAACTTGTGTGCGTGTGTGACCACGTGAAGGGGGTGTGGTTTTGGGTGTCTTTTCACGGAGCAAACAGGACAGAGAGGCAGAAAGTCTGAGGCAAGCAGTTGAGATGGATGACTTTAAATTAATTATGGAAGTTGAGAAACACAAGGAGCTGTACGACCCCCGAAAAACATGATTATTTACGTACCCATTTCATAAGAAACTTTTAGGATACAGCTCCAGCTGAGATTCAACTTGCAGAAACAACTCATTCCATAGGTTCACACACACACATACACACACACACACACACACACACACACACTCAAACGTAGAGGAAAAGAGCTGAGAAAAGGCAGAGAGGAAATGGAGGACACCCAAGTGTTTAAAAGAAAAACTACAGCTGAGCCGAGGCGCGCCTCGACTGGGGCGTGTCTGATCTGATCTGAGGAGCGGCGAGCAGCGGCCGGATTTCGTGAGCGATTCGCTTCTCGGCGCTTCGCGGCCGGTGTGTCCTAGGCGTCCGTGGTTAAAGTGCGTCAGCACAGCGGATTTAATACGAGTTTTAAAGAACAATCTCTGAGTGAAGTGAGGCTAGTTTTTGTCTCTCTGCAGATATAAAAACCAACTCTGCATCAGTCACACGCAGCTAAGCTCACCGACAGTCGTCTGTATGAGCGTCAGAAATCTGATCAAATCAGCTGTAAAATAATGAAAACAACAGTAAAAATGCTCCTTTGCTTTTTAGAGTCCACATCCAGAAGGCTGGAGCCGTGTTTCACTGACAGGCTGTCAGACTAACGCCCTGATGAGCTCAGCTGGGACAAACTGGTCTGATGTTTAGGTAAGTGAAGATCTGCTTCTCCAAGGCCTTGAGATGCTAGTAAAAATAATGTAGCCAGTGCTAATGTTACTTTTCTTCTCCTCTGAGGAACACAGAACGCTCAGATGTTGGAGCTTCACGTCACCTACTGAGGACCACCAGTAAAGAGACGGCGTCTGGACCAGACCAAAGTGAGTGATGACACTTTAGCCCTACACCTCAGCCTCTAGGAGCCACCCTCATCATCATTAACTCATTCACTGCCAGTTTACATTTTTTACTGTGTGGGCGTCGGACGAGCCCCCGCACCGTGAGAACAAACATCTCAGCTCTAAAGTCGATCTTCATCCACATACGTCACATGTCACGTGATCAGGAAGCAGAACATCCCTGTGTTAGGAGATCGTTTTGGGCCGCTGCTGTAAAAAAAAGTGAGGCGCGAACCGGAAAAGCTTCTGCCGATCACAATTCAACAACGGATGATGAAAGAACGGATAACGCTCGAAACGCGCGGATTCTTCCTGATGTAAGAGGTGAGTCTCCGCTTTGTTTTGGTTGTTTTGGCGTCGACATCATGCTAGCGCGCAACGTTCTGTCACTCTTAAAAAAACAGTAAAACGGTGAGAAACGCTGGCAGTGAACGAGTTAACAGGTTACAAAGTTAATCATAGTTGTTGATGAGTAGGGTTGGGCACCGTTTGATTTTGAACGATTCAGATTCCTCGTATCTATTCCGGTTCCTATCGATTCCCGATTCAGATTCTTTGAAGACATGACGTGTTTTACATGAGCCAGCTGACCACAGGTCCTACTGGATGAAATAATCTTAACTTCAACATGAATTTTAACTCTATGAACAACAACATCACCTTCATTTAGACACAAACATAAACGTCTCCAACATATCCAGAAGCGTCCAGCTGTTTTCAGCTCCAACTCTCAGGATGGTCACGTCCAGGATGACTGAGAACTACACCTCCATGCTGCAGCAGCGTTCAGTCAGAAACCTAACCGCAGCTGCTGTCAGTGACAAGCTAACAGGTTTTAAACGTTAAACTCTCAACAGAAACAGTTCAGAAAGGAAATTAAAATGTTATTTATTATTATTATTATTATTATTATTATTATTATTATTTATTGTGGCAGAAGCTGGTGTGGTCCACCTCAGAAAAGCTGCTCTAGCATGATGACTTTAATTATTCTACAGGTTATTGTTCAGCCTTCTGACGCTCACACACACACACACACACACACACACACACACACACACACACACACACACACACACGAGTGTAGGGCTGCAGCTATCGAATATTTTTTGTAATCGAGTAATAAATTACTCTTTTGTGTTTGTAAACCATTATATCAAATAGCATGTTATAAAATATGAAAGACCTCTTAAAATGAGCAAGCAATGGCCAGTTATTCTTCAAGTTTTATTCAAAATTAGTTTTCAAAACTTCAGCACTTCAACTTTACTTCACAGAAACAAATGTCTGTGCAAAAAATAAGTAAACAACCTGAGCCCATTTTCCCCTCGCGCGAGAATCTGCTAGCCTTCAAGCCAGACAAAAACTAGGAGGATAACTGTTGAAGTAGCGCTGCGAGCGGCTGCGGCCCAAACAGAACCAGAACCGCTCACGGCGCAAACAGCTCGCCGGCTGTTTCCCTACTAACACACGTCCGTTTTAATTTCTACACTTTTTTCTCACACAATAACAAGGATTGTCGAGAAAGCATGTTTGCCGTGGTTTTGTCAAATTATACTGATCACAAAACATTTATTTACTTTCTTTCATTTTCCTCCGCCACTCATAAATACCCGTGTCCTCCTGCAGCAATCCCGAGGGACAACAAATATCAATAAAAACACTATAAAAAGTCCGACATATTGTGTAAAAACAGCTATTTTTTAGCACATTTTAAGTAGGGATGCACCGATGGATCGGCATTTGATCGTAATCGGCCGATAGCGCCCCTATCGGTTTTGATCGGAATTTTCAAAATAGATCAAAGCAAACCAATCAGGTAGGGTTGTCACGGTAACCAGTGTAGCGCTAAACCCCGGTAAAAAAAAAAAAAGTTGACAATAACCGTCTTGTTTTTAAAAAAACTATATTATCTTGGTGGGTTTACCGTGGCTGCGTTGTAGGCGCGGTGACCCTTACCAGCCACCGTATCATCTGCTGAAGTTGCCGGCGGCACATACACGCTTTGTGTACAACAAAACTTTCTTGAAGCTAAAGCTGAAATAATGGTCAAAGGAGGAGACGGCAACACTCAGGAGGACATTTATTATCCCTCAAAGAAGACAAAGTGGGAAGTACGGGCATATTTTAGATATTTGAAGAATGTCGAGGGAGTTTATAGAAGACGGACGGACGGCTATCCTGTTTGCAGCACGAGCAGAAAAAGTGTCTGTGAAAGGCAGCAACGCTTCATATCTCATGACACATCTGCGTGACCATCACCCACAACTCTGCAGTCAACGCAAGGCAAGCTAACGTTAGCGTTTTAGCTAAAATGCGTGATCCGAGGATTTGGGTTGAGGGAGAATGCAACGAGTCGCTATATAAAGCAGCCGCAGCGCCGCTACCTGCATATAAACCGTGTCGCGGACACCCCCATGTTGAAATGACGCTATGCATTACGGGGCTCCCAGGGGCAGATAAGAGTTGGTCTCTCTCCGAGAATAATTATGAATTTAACAACGATTACTGCCTGATGACATTTTCCCACATCTGCAAAGCTCACTGGAAGGACACAAACCGAGGACAATATTTTCCTGATATAGGGTTTATTACTCAAGTAAGGATAAAGTATCTGATTAGAAGTCTACTTGAGTACTGAGTATCATCTGAAGTAATATTTTTAAAATGATGACATCAAACAGACAAAAAATAAGAATTTATGGGCAAATATTGGTATTTTAAAGACTAAAGGGGAAAAATGTAAACAAACAAACAACATAATTACAAAATAACACATTTTAGGCAAAATTTAGACACAAACTGAGGACAATATTTCCTGACATACAGGGTTTATTTAATTGTGTGAAAATGTAGCACGTTTAAAAAAATACCGCAATAATACCGAAAACCGTGGTAATTTTGGTCACAATAACCGTGAGGTTAAATTTTCACACCGTGACAACCCTAATACAGACCATTTTAGATTAGGATACATTTCCTTTATTCCCAGATTATGTAGTTTGTAGCACTCATTATAATGTTGTAGAAAATTTCTGGCCAATCCACGTGATCGGTATCGGTGATCAGCATTCTTTGATATCGGTATCGTGATCGGCAGCAAAAAACCTGATCGGTGCATCCCTAATTTTAAGTCTGACGTGTTGCTACCAGACGTACGGTGTGAGCTGAAACTGAGTGCTACAAATGAAAAGTCGCACAGTGTCCGCAGAATATATAGAAATACAGGCTAAAATGCATTATCTTGTAGAGGCTCCGAGTCCGCTTGCAGAAGTGACATTTACAGGTGGTGCAGCACGGAGGTTGTGGTGTTGTGGTAGGCTAAATCCATTTTACAGTATTTATACTGGACTACGTTTTCCACCTTACGACGTGAAAAATGGTCCCACACCCAGGGCTGCTCAATTAATAGAATTTTAATCACGATGACGATCTGGGCTTTCAACGATTATTAAAAATGACTGAGCCGGTTATCAGCACCTCCCTCGTGTTTTACTCTCGCGTGGCAAATCGAGCGCACCTCTCTGCGTTTCGAACACGTGATGCGTCACATCAAGAGTAAAGCTAGCAAAGCGTCGCCTCAGAGGAAAGCTAAGCAGACGTTATTTGGAGAGGAGAGGATAAAGAAAGAATACCGTTAGTTGAACAGCGAGGTAGAACTACTTCAGTGGTGTGGAAACATTATTTGTTCGCGGAGTCAGACGTGAATCAAGTCGATATAGTGTGGAAACTTTGCTACGGTGTTGTAGCGGCACCACAGGGCAACACTACCAACTTATTTAATCATTTGAGGACCGCTCACAAAGTAACATACGATGAAACAATGGAGCATAGAGAAAACTCTCAACAACACCGGCTTCATCCTCACAGACCTCCATTCACGCTACCACGCGACTAAATACCCCACCAGCTCCAGAGACACAAGGAGATAACAAACGCCGTAACGTTGTTCCTCGCCAAAGACCAATGCTCAGTCAACACAGTGATCAACCCCGGCTTTAAGAAGCTAATCAACACTTTGGACAAACGGTGTAACTTGCCATCTCGTCACTATTTTAGTCGAGTGGCGATTCCCGCTTTATATGATGAGTGTCATGATGGTGTCGCAAAGGAAGTGGCTACAGCCCAATATTTTCCCTCCACAACGGACTTGTGGTCAAGCCGCACCATGGAGCCGTATTTGAGCCTCGCGGTACATTTCATTGACATGGATTTCAACATGAAAACCAAATGTCTCCAGACATGATTTTTCCCAGAAGACCACACGGGGCAGAACATGGCTGCAGGTCTGAAACAAGCACTGGCTACGTGGGATCTGCAGGAGAGTAAACTCGTCTGTATAACCACAGACAACGCTGCAAACGTCATACTGGCTGCAGAACTGAATGGCTGGATGAGGCTCCAGTGCTTTGGGCACAGATTACATTTGGCCATAGGTGAGTAGGCCTAATTCCTACTGAATATGATGCATATTTTCTATCAATTATACAAACACATGAATGAGCTACCATCACTTTTTCTTATTCATTCACACTCAAGGAAATGACATCATCCTCCTGATACTGCTTGTTTATATTTTCATGTTTTTACAGAAAGAGCCATGAAAGATCACAGGGTTGAGCGTGCAGTGGGGGTCTGCAAAAAAGTGGTCCGCACCTTTTCATTCGGTTGGAAAAAGAGAGAGAGAGCTGAAAAAGGCACAGATAGACCTCAAACTGCCAGACCACTCCTTAAAGACCGAGTGTCCAACCAGATGGGGATCCAGGCAGGCCATGCTTTCCAGAGTCCTTGAGCAGCAGAAGGCCACTGCCCATGTCCTCTCCCAAGACAAAGGAACTCGGCGCCTCATCCCCTCATGGCAGGACATCGATGTCCTTGAGGCCGTCAACAAGACCCTGGGACCTCTGGTTGAATTCACTGATACGCTTTCTGGAGAGAAACATGTGTGTGTGTGTCTTTAACAAAACCAACACTCCAACACT